GACAGTCCATCCCAAATCTAATAAGAGCTTTAAAACAGCCACAATGACAGGACCCAGTCTTCCTGCCTCACAGCCTATCACTGTGATATACACCCCGGCTTCACTTGCGCACACACACTGCAGCACTTCTATATTCCTATAACAGCTCTAAGTCCTGGGATTACCACCACAGTGACACAAGAGCTGTGTAATAGAAAAGAGAAGAGGAGGCTCGAGCCCCAGCCTCTCCAGAGCCATGTCATCTCTTCACAAATACCTCTTTAAACCAGCCACTCGGCTGAAAAGCAAACATCTTCCTTTAAAAGAATACTTTGGTGAAGAATCTAATTTACACAATGTGTCCTTTAAATAAACTAATATACACCATAGGAATAGAAGCTTGAACTGGAGCCATGAGGCTCATTAAGTCAAGTGTCAATGGGTCTTTACTGTCATTACAATATAACTTGTATATACTGGAATGAAATGCTGTTCTTCAGGCCCTTTGGTGCAACACACAACAGCAGCACATAAACTGTGTAATGTAGTTAACGCATGCATAAATAAACAAATGCTTACCTCACCACATACCAAGCAACCACTTCATTAAGAACACCTCCTCGTATCTACACTCTTTGTCCATTTTATCAACTCCACTCACTATATAGGTGCACTTTGTAGTTCTACAACTACAGACTGTAGTCCATCTGTTTCTCTGCATACTTTGTTATTCCACTTTCACCATTTTCTACAATGGTCAGGACCCCCACAGGACCGACACAGAGCAGGTACTATTTGGGTGGTGGATCATTCTCAGCACTGCAGTAACACTGACATGGTGGTGGTGTGTTAGTGTGTGTTGCGCTGGTCTGAGTGGATCAGACACAGCAGTCTTATTGTGGCACTGCTGGACTGAGAATAGTCCACCAACCAAATATCCAGCCAACAGCGTCCTGTGGCAGCACCCTGTGACGGACTGATGAAGGACCAGAGGATGACCAACACAAACTGCGCAGCAACAGATGAGTTATCATCCCTGACTTCACATCTACAAGTTAGACCAACAAGGTAGGAGTGTCTAATAGAGTGGACAATGTTTAAAAACTCCAGCAGCAATTTTACGGATGAAAACCTGAACCTTTCACTGTGATGCAGTTTTAACTGAATGCTCGCAGGAGGAAGACAAAAAAGAAAGCAATAATGGTGACAAACATCATTTTTCTTTTAGCAAGTGCAGCTCAAAACCACAGCCACTGAGCAACAGCCCATTCTGCTAATACTTCACCACAGATTCACACGGGAGCTCTGCAGCAGGGATGTGTGATTGAGTTCGAGGCTCTGCTTCAGCACAGAGCTCCAAGGATTAAAAGAACAGAACAAAGCACAGGAGCAACCATGAACTCTGACAAGAACATCAGAACCAGTGTTTGAGTAAAACTCAGTCTCTCGGCCTTGGTCTGAGCTGATACACAACTTTAGCGTAACTGATCGGGGCTAAACTGCTGTAAGCTGAATAGGCGGATGTATGCAAATCAGGCTTTTTTGCAGTTTAGTTTCCATATTTGGACTGTACAGCTGTACAGACTTGGGAATGACTGGAGAGTTTTGAAACTGTTTACATACTACATAAACACTTATTTCAAAAAAAGTGAGGTAAATTCAGTTTTCCCCCTCCTCACACACACATACACAAAAAAGTCACAGGGACTGGCTGACTAATACATAAGACTCATGAAGGGTGAATTAAAACCTTGTCACATGAGATCTTTTCCTGGCGCCATGATGTCAGCACTCCCCGACCCTACATTCATCAGGAACTGTTCAGCACCACACAAACTAAATCACACCAGCTCTCCACCCTTCACTGCTAATCTCCACAAATCATCACCTGGCTGCTCAATACATCCACTAAGACTCTTTCAGACGAACAGCAGAACTCTAATGTTCACCTAAGCGCAAAAGCAAGCCTATAATGACTTAGAAAAAAGATCATGCCAAAGCAATATGTCAGAATCGTTCTTTAAAATGAAATGAGAACGAAAACCCGAAGAGCGTGTTGCATTGATTTTATGTTGGTAAACAGAGCTTGGAATTGTGGGCAATAAAGCAGAATGTATCCACTCTCTTTCAAATGCTTCTAAAACAGATTATTACCTCTCTATAGTACTGTGATGACCTCAATGTCCTGCCTTTTGCCCGCTCTAGTTCATTCTGGATTCTTAAACAATACAAAAAGTTCACAGATGACAGGACTTGGATCAAAGCAATTCACAGCCCTGTCTGTCTCAGCTAAGCTCTTTTTCTCAGGGCTTCTAAGGTGGTTTAAAGTATCAAAGTTGGGTACTCTGGGTCACGCTGTGTAGCGAACTGCTCAAACCTCACAGAAGAAGGATGATCTTTTTATGGGATAATATTTTTTAATAAAAATCCCAGCTGGTCACGTGGCTCTATCTCTATAGCCATGTAAAGTTCTAATTTAGTTCAAAAACTAGCCAGAACAAAGACAGATAAGTGATATAAAAGTGTAGTCCACCTATAGTCCAGTTTACATGCTCACCAACATAGTCTGACCTATGGGGCATTCCAACCAAAAACTGGAGTTTAACAGCTTATTCGTCATGTTTTGTTATCTGTGATGCAACATTTTATCCCTCAGCCTTTTATATCTTTTTCATTTTTTTATTCATCAGTGTTCGCCACTACAATGCGCAGCATGCATTATAACAACATATCATATAACCACTGGTAATCCCTGTCAACCAATCTTGACCGCTGGCCTAACCACTGATCTATAGACTACTCACTACAGCCAAGCTAGCATTACTATATTTCTTACCTCAGCCATTCAAAGTCAAAAAAAGTGACTCTTTATTCTTAATTCAGTACAAAATGGACACCAGACACAAGTGTTTCACCCTTTCAGCCAAAGTAAAGGAGCTAAGGTATTTAGATAGCTGGGTAGCTAACCACCTTGCTAACTTTTAGATAGATCCTTATTTGACAAGTCATTTCTGTCATTCAAGTAATCCATTCTGTCTATTGCAATGAAAAATCTAGACCATTGGTGTGCATGTAAACACAATTTACGAGGTCTGTTTGATTGAACTCAAAAACTGAAATAAAAATCTAAAAAAGGTGTTTTAGAAATGAGTCCATTCCACCATGTATCACAAAAATAAATAAATAAATAAAAAAAACACCCTTCAGATCTGCCCTTGTTATGAAGGTCACACGTCCTCTTCCCTTAAAGCTAGCGTACAGACCTGCTGCTGGGCCCACACCTTTCTATTCTGATATTCTGAGACATCTATTCAATTAGGCCTGTTTGATTTCCCCTGGGAGCGACCAAGTCTTTAAAATGCATCATTAACACAGGCTTAGGCCTCCCGCAGGACCCCTGCCCCAGGTCCAGCCCAACCTGCTCCCAGTCCACAAAGCAAACACACCAGCCTGCAGCTTTCAGATGACATGCACCACAGAAGCCCCATTTAGCTTGTTCATGGAGATGTTTATGAGCAGAAAACAGCTGAGGTTTAGCTTGAAGAAGCCTTGTTTAATCTTCGACCAAACACCAGCGGGCAAACGATCTAAATGCGTATTTTGTCACCAAGGCTGAGCCTGTCATGACCAGGAAATTTCAGCTGACAGTTAGCTGCCACATAAATAAACTGCGATTTATTTTATTTTTTGTGCAATTTCTTAGCGTTTTTTGTGCAACAATTAAAGTATAAGCATGAAGTGACCAGTGTTTTTTTCTTTTTTCGTGAATTTGCCGCAACCTAACAGATGAAAATGAACCCAATTCATATTTTGTTTGCTGCTATATAAACATTTAATTGTGAAAGCAAACAACTGCAAAATCAAGATCAGCTCATATAATTGTCATCAGATGAGTATGCAATAGTTATAACAGGCCAAAGGGGAATGAGGTACTGGTGATAATCTGTTATGCAAACAGAAACTATTGATGACCTCACTGTAAACATGTTCAGATTACAAACATGCTGCTCAGATTCAATCTTTCTGCCTTGACAGTTCACAACCATTTTTACAAGGCTATATTCAGATTGCAGGTAAAAGTGGTCCAGATCTGATCTACTATAATACGGTTTTACTCTTTGGTCGTTCACATTATCTTTTTAATGTCACCTATATATGACATCTATTTGCACAGATCACGCTTTGGAACTGACCAGTGTGCACAAAAGAACACTGATCCACCCAGAACACTCATCCAACTCTTCCAACAAACACAGCTGTCCTATAGATTTCATTAAGAATAACAATCATTTCAAGCAACATCAAGAAGAAATGTGTGAACAGCAGACACCAAACCAGACCGTACTGAATGAAGTTAAAAAAATCTGTGCTTGTTTTAATGGTGGAAGATGATCAAACAGCAAAAAAGACAGTTTCTTTCATTTACCTGCGGTGAAGCAGAATGCGATGTAAACTAGCACCAAAACGTAGATGGGAAATGCAATCACAGTAGCAGGCGTTTTGATGATCCTGCTTTAAAAGTTAGTTAGATTGATGTAAAAGTCACATAAATTTGGATTTAACTATTATTACTGCATATCAGATATGTATGAGATTTCAGTATCACATATGAAATATGGCCTAAATCTGCAGCATAAACTTACCTGTACCTGTCAGTGTGAACACACCTCCGCTCTGAAAGGACCTGCATGTGGACGTTGACGAACTATTTGCATTTAAGGTTGATGACGATCAATAATGTACACACTATTCAATTTAGGTCCACATATAAAAGTGTCTCAAATCAGATTCCAACAGATCAGTTCACACAGCTCCGAACAAATCAGATCTGTCACATTTTGGCACTTCCACCCTGTGATGTGAACACAGCTTAAGGTGGATGCAGTGACTCCAGGCTGGAAAAGTTCTCTGGCTCAAGGAGAGTCACCCAGGAGCCTGGAACCATTCAGGAATCCAAAGTTCAACCAAAGGTTTTACAGTAGTGAAACCCCCCCCTCCTTCCCAACAGCCCTCTCACTCACCCCTGACTTCTCATCGAAAATCTTGATCCCGCCGAAGGAGACGGTGAGAAAGACTTTCTGCTTGTGTTCTCCTTTAGAGCGCGCCGAGGCTGCGATTCCCTGCAGATGACAGGAAAAAAAAAAAAAGCACTGAGAGGAGAGAACAGAGAGCGGGAAAAGAGAACCTGTGGCTCTTTTGTGCAGTCCTGTGGGAAGAACAGGTGTTATATAACTGACTCGGTTCAGCTTCGTCCTCACTGTTTGCCACCACTTGATCATGTCTGACTAGGGGCTGATATGTGTGGCTCTCCGAGTCGGAGTTTTTGTAAATGTGTGAAATCAGAGAGGGGTGTATGGTTGTATGGGTGTGTGTGTGTGTGTGAGTGTGTGCAGATGTCAGGTTTCATTAACGCAGGTACTGAGTGTGTGCAATATATGAATTACTCTACCAAACTGGTCCAAAGTCAGAGTTTAAAACACAGTCTGAACTTTTAACTGACTTAGACTTGAGACTAAAATCCCTTTGCTTTGGGCAACTTTATGCCTTAACCCTCCTGTTATCCACAAATTCGCTAACATCTTTTATTCTTGGGATTAATTTGACCCCAGCAATTTAAGCCTCCGTTCTGGTGGGAACTATGTTGTCCCATCCCTCATGTAACGTGAACTATGAGTGATATATTTTTTTTTTTTTGAAGATGATAAAATTGCACGTTACCGTGACCTCAATATCACTCAACACAACCAAAACAAATGTGTGTAAAATGTTGATATTTCTTATGTTTCATAAAGCTAAAACAGCCTGGGGTCAAACTGACCCCAAAGAACACTTATGCATAAAAAAAGGGGAAAAGGAACATTAAAAACATATCATTATACAAATTTAATGTTTACCCAGTTGTACCTATTAAATTAGGAAAAGTCATTAAATATGAAGCAAAAAAAAGATTTCAATCATTTAGTTAACGGTGAGTAGGGTCAAACTGTTTCGTAGTGACTGTTCCAGTAGTGACAATTTTAGTTAATTTTAAGCAGAACTCAAAAACGCTAGCTGGTACATGACTAACAAACACAGCTTTGAACAGCTGCACACACACGAATGTGTATCAGTAGTGACAATTCTTAATAACTTCTGGACACACTTCAAAACAACAGGATCTAACTGCTCACCACGTGGCCATAAGCGTCAGGGATGCAATCTCACTTCCTGCTCTAAAATAAAGGGGTGTGGCTAAAATAAGACTGAGCCTATGGTCTAGGCTGAGAAGACACGTGGATTCACTAGTAGTTTTGGAGGGTAAATAAATTGGCTCTCTTTACATTGTAGATGCCATTTATCACAAAATAACTTTACATCTCGACCACTGAGTTATACAGAAATTCTGAAAACATCACTGACAGATTGCAATACAGTGCAGGTAATGTTTAAGATGATATAGGTTTCCTGTTTTGTCGCACAACAAAGAAATCTTTGATGTTGTATTTTTTCTACAACTTTAAATGATGGTGGCAGCAAACAGAGAGGAACTGAAGGAGGCCCAATAGTTAGATTAGTTGATTAAAGTGTTATAGTTGGCAGGCTAATCGATTACAGAGATAATTATAAGCTGCAGCCTTAATATTTATGATGCTGTTCTGTGTCAGTGCGTGAGGGAGAGAGTTTTTCCATGCATTTATAGAGGTTGAATCAGCAAGAGGATAAAGTGCTGACTGCCCACTTTTACTGCACTGAACCCTGCGCAGGACCTCGGGGCAAGTCAGGGAACAGGCATTTGAAGTTTGTTTTCCCCCAAGGAGCTCTACTTCTCCTCTCTGCAAACAAACCTCCACTGCCACTCCTGTCAACCTATCACACAGCCTCGATCCCTGACAACCCTTTCAAGTGCTCACAGAGCAGTGTGTTTATGTCCACCTGTGTTTGTGCGAGTGTGTGCGTGTGTGTGTGTGTGTGTGAGAGAGAGAGAGAGACAACAAGATCATGCATCAGAGCTAGGGAAAAAGAGTACTGTGGGTCTGCTAGAGGTGCAAAATTCTGAGCCAAAACTGAAAAATCGAATTACTCATTTTGGATTTTGAGCTTTCAAAGAAAATTTGGGACTTTGACATGTTTTCCCTTAATCAAATTACATAATCACTTCTGCAGTGTAGTATAAAATAATTTACAACACCAAAAAAGACAAAAAAAAACAAAACAAAACATGAAATAAAACAAACCAACAGCTACAAAAGCGGTTATCAACTCAAAATAGATAGTCTTGTACCATGACTATTAGAGTTAGGCCTTCTGTTCAGCCACATAAATGCCAAAAATAGGTCAAAAACGAGGGGAAAAACCTCTACGATGATTATTATAATTATTATTATTATTTTTTTTTAAAAAGGCCTAGAGTGATGTTCTTGCTCACAACACTTGTCCCAGCCACTGTAAAAATCAAAAGTTGACTAGCTGATTTCACCGTCACTCCATAATTAGGTTAGTAGTTCATCTGACACATAGAGGTGTTACGGGTTGGCATTTTCACACTATGATAATCTGGTCAAAAAATATCACAGTTTCATTGTATCACAGCACTAAGCAACCATTTAAAAGCACAATTATAGGTGGTTAAAATTAAAGGAAAAAATATTCTTTAATAGCCTCAAGAATTATTTTCTTGTGATAGAATTGAGAATTATAGTGATATCCCACTGCCTCTACATGTTAAAACAATGAGAGTGAGCGAGTGCTGAGTTAAAGCAGAAGGGAAAAAACTCCCTCACCACTGTAGTTGGCTGGCAGTATGCTGCTCTGAGCCAAACTGCTAATGTAACTTTTTTGTGCATTAATATTATGATTATTAGCAAACTGTGCTAAAGAGCACAAGAGTTTAGTTTATTCATGTGCAACAAGGCCATGTTTTTTTTTTGGCATTTCTTAGCCACCTGTGCAATATTACTTACTAGCAGTATTGTCTCTCATCGACTTCTGTATGCAGAGAAATATGGAGGAGGAGATCTGGAGTGATTCAGGGTGAGTTAAGAGGGTCTGGGTTAAAATAATCAGGACCATTGGTGGAAATATAACTTGTACACAGGAATTGGAAATTTGATTGTTAATTTTGGAAAAATCAACTGTCTGATCCTAACGCTGTGGCTAACCATGGAACCCTGACAGCATAACATCCTACTAAAACGTTAGGCTTTCAGTTCAGCTCCTCAAGCCCTATACAATGGGAGAGCGAGCCTGGTTGTAGCTCCCCCTTTAGGTGTTTTAAACCAAGACTTAGCAATGAAACAGGAAAATGAGAACAATACTTGCTGAGCTTGAATACAAAAAGCATACCGGTTAAGATGATTTAAAATGAACTAAAAATTACTGACATACATTTTTTATTTTTACAGACATCTTTAGGCCTTAAGGATTCCCCTCTGTGGATGGACATTAGGCTACATTTCTCAAGCCTCCTTGATGGTCTATATTGTTGTGCTATCCCATAACTTTCAATGTTTAGTGAAGTTAAGGTTCTTCTTTGGGATATTAGCATAATAAAACATGACAATCAACACAAAAGACAATCATAAGATGATCAGAATCGTGACAAATCGATTTTTTTTAATCATTACATGCCAAGCATGTGTATGTGCAAGTGTGTATATGTGTCTGGAAGCTAGAAACTGATCTACAAGATGTTGTTTCTTTTAACCACCCTAGGGGCTGCTCCACTCTGTCTCTCTTTCTTTCTCCCCTGTTGTTGTTCAATAATGCGGACCTGGGATCGATCCGCTGCTGATTGGTGGAGGTCTGTGGGGGATATAAGTGCGCCTGCTTTAGAGGAGACTATATGTGTTCATTATTTGTGATGCAGGCACACTTATTTGGAAACAGCGCTTGAAAAATAGCAGCCATTCGAGGCTGCGGAATAAAATGTGCCCCTGAGTTACCAAATAAAAAACCTCAGCACAGTGAAGAAGCACAAACGCTGCCTGATCAGATCTCTAGATTAGAGAAACCTCTTTTACTGTTTACCACTGCAGAAATGTGGAGCTGTGAAGGCTTTGCCCTGCACACGATCCAAAAGGAATAGTAGTCGAGTGAAGCTGGTAGTGTACAATTTACCTACATACACATATATATACTTTAAACTGGATGGAGAGTTAAGATAAAACGTGTGGTGTTAGGGATGCACAATGCATCATTGGTTAACTTGTCAATATCGGCCTTCAAAGTACAGACACTGCAGACGTCTGCAAAATGCAAATGAGCTGCTAACCAATAACTGAATGTTTTAATGTCTGCCATAGACATTGTGACCAATTAGAGATGATCTTTGAGTGTTTGGATTAATCAGAGGAGTCACATGATCTAACACCAATCTTTTTGGTCGAATAGATTAATATAAGCCCACATCTAATCACACATGAAGGGCTATTTATGTGTTGTTAAGATGCTAAAAGTCATGTCACAATTAAAATATGTAGCAATGTAGTCATCTTGTGGCATACCGTCCATACTGTGCAGCTCTAGTAGAAGAGGTAACACTTTACTGGAACACATTCATAACATCTTACATAAACTTAGATATACATTTCAAAATAAAAGTCCTCTATTTTTTTTTTAAGTACATTATTTTCAATAAAACTTTTCCAAAACATTTCCTGACAGCCAAAATAAAAATGACCTGACTTTGCCCCTTTGGCCAGAAGGTGCTTTGACACTTAGGCACTTTTGGCCTAAACTTTTGGCCACAACACTTTCTGTATAAAGAATTTTCTTATTTCTGTATAAAGTCATTTTTATTTTGTTTGTCCAGAAATTAGAATTTTCGCTGAAAAGAAATATAGTTTTTCAAAATAAAAAGACTTGAAAAAAAAACGACATAATAGTACATATGTCATGTACAACAAGTATACTTTATGAATGCTAATTTGAACATTCTTGAGCATGTTATGGAGTGATTGTGTAAGATGTTATGAATGTGTTATGTAGACACCTTTTAAGTAAAGTGTTACCGTAGAAGTGGGCGATATGATGTGTTACTGTTATCATGAAAAATTATGTCACAACGTCATAGTAATTGTACTCTTTTTCATTTAATTGCACTCAGGTTTTCATTGCCTAGTTTAAAATGTCGCCCATTCCAAATTGTTCAAAAGCCTCAAAAAACATATCATGATATACAGTTTACAGTAACAATTGTCTTTTAGTATTGCAATGTTATATTTTCATCACATCGCCCACCCTCAAGCCCTAGTGCTGAGAGAGAGAGAGAGACAGAGACAGAGAGAGATTAGGAATGATAATGCAGGGTTGTTAGTTTACTAAGGAGTGAAGGATTGTGGGAATATGAGTATAGATTAGCTGTCGAAATGAGCGAGGGAGTAAACAGGCCTGATCAATGGTAGCCTGGCCTCCATTCCAATTAAACCAACATGCAAATCAGCCAAAGCAATCACCCACCTCCACCATAAACACACACACACCAAAAACATGTGCTCGCAGACACAAAACACTCAAGAAAAGTAACGTAAGATCAACTTTCACATCAACACCGCCCCCCCCTCCACACACACACCCCAAAAAAACAAACACTTTTCAGAGCAGGGTGACAGAGGAGCACACATACATGTACGCACACACACACACACACTCGTGGCTGGGCAGTGGTGAGTCCTGATATTTACAGGGCTCATTAACCCAGCTGATGAATGTGGGCAGAGAGAGATCATTCACATCGAATGTGCACACATACACACACACCTTCAGCTTCATCATCGAGTCCTGACAGAGTTTGTCTCCTCTTGCGGCGGTGACCTCATCAATGCCGATGAGCTTGGCCTTGTAGCGCACACCATCGCCCTTAAAGCGCTTTATCAGAGCGGCCTCACTGCGGTCCTGCCCTGCAGGTGGGCAAAGGGGGCGGGGGGAGAGAGGGAGAAAGAGAATTAGCAACAAAACATCCTACATTTGTAGCATTATTTGACATGTTAATAAAGCATCCTGAATTAAACTGCATCAAACTAAAATTCACAGAGAGAAAACGAGAGAGAGAAGAGAGAGAGACAGTGTGAGAGAAAACAGAGACAGAGACAGAGATACATATGGATGCATTGTTCTTTCCCTACATTTACTGTAACAATTCCAATGATCATGCTTCACATACCCCACACAAAGCCACTGCAGCAGCAGTGCATGAATAAATGGAGGAATAAAGCAGAACCCTGCTGTATATAAAGCAGCATGGCTTCACCGACTGCTCACAATGTTTCCACCATACTGCAGCGATGGAAAAGAGCTTTCAGTAGAACCACAATGCTGTAAAGATAACTGCTGTGAATATGCATAGCATCCTACACTAGAGCAGACTGAGTTCAGCCATGCTGGAAGAGAGTCTCCTCTGCAGTGCAGCTGTGAGTGAACCCTTAGTGACAAGAACACGCTTACAGGGAAGGTCAAACAGAGGTGTGAGTGTGTGCACATTAACATATATTGTGTATTGAGGGAGGTGGGACTAGGTGTGTAACTTATTCTCACAAAGCCTAAAGCTAGAAGCAAGTGTGTGTGTGTGTATATATATATATATATATATATATATATATATATGCAGTGAAAACAGTACTGTTTATATGTGTAGGAATTATGCAATATAATAGTGCCCAATATATTATCCACCAATAAATGGAAAAACTGATCTACAGTCCAATATTTCCATTGCACTTGATAATTACAACCAATAATTTAGCATCTTATTTTTAGCTTTCGCGCTAGTGCTCGACATTTCCTTTTTTTGAAATTGTAGATTCAATATTTGATACCTCACCCAGACGAACACTACTATACCAATAAGACTTCTTCAGCAAGACTCCTAACTTTATGCAGATCTGCTACTGTACATGGATTTGGATAAGACTGACTGCTAAATAACACAAAATTTACATAAAATCTTGAGACATAAAATAATGAGCCCCTCCTCTTAAACCCAGCCCAGAATTTCCACTTACGTAATTGCATGTGGCTATAGAAAACTCATTCAATTTACACTTGTGCTGAATGTGGTCAAGATCCATCTCTGACCACTTCCAGATGTGGTAGTGATCTAATCACAATGCATATGTTTACACTTTACACAATCCAATCACCGAAAACACGTCTTGTAGAAAGGGAGGGAAAAAGAGAGAGGGAGAAAGGCCTGAGATCATTTAAGGGGATGAAGTTCGGCTCTCACATCAAAGCATACATCCACCAGCCAATCATGGCTTAGAAAACAGCCCGAGCCCCTCCCACACACTGCTCACATAGACTTTAATTGGCAAACCGGACTGACCAATCGATGAGCTTTTTGAGGCTGGAGACCAATTAACTCACACGCGTCCAGTGGAGCAGAAACAGACCCAATTAATCCTGGGCCTTTACACACACACACACACACACTGCTGCTAACAAACACTGACGCTGGCCCTGGGGACACAGAGCAAACACAGGCACTTTTTCCTGGTTAACTGGAGGCCTGTGACAGAGAGGTCAGAGGACAGAGGGTGTGTGTAGCTCAAACAGAGAAGAGTCGGTCAGGTGCATTCATTACAGTCCATTTAAAGCTGCACTGCCCTCCAGACACTCTCTCCTCCACAATGCTGAATATTTATATCCTAAACTCCATAACCAGCATTATAACAAACCCTGCACAGTTACAGATACTGAATGAGTACCAACCCTTATACTATCTCTCTCAGTCCCTCCCTTTGTCTCTCTGTCATTATCCCTCTCTCACTCTGTCATTCACTCTCTATCTCACTCTCTATGTATTATTCTCTTTTTGTAAGTCTCTCTCTGTGTATCTCTCTCTCTGTTCTCCCTCTTTCTCTCTCATTCTTTATCTCTACCAGTCACAGAAGTACCGTTCCTCTCTCTCTCCTTCTGTGCATCTCCCTCTGTCAGTTTCTCTCTCTCCCCCTCATTCCTTAACTATCCTTTTTGCAGAGGCAAAAGATACTTTTGTATCTTCCTCTCTCTCGATCCTGGCTGCTGTATTGTTGCGGTATCAGTAGCGCTCTCGTGATGACCTTGCTCTAACACTCTCCTCAATGTTATCTAATGTGGCTGCTCTTGCCTCAGAAAATCAGGGGTCAGGACTGCCTTAATCGAGAGCGAGAAAGATGATCTGCATAGCAATGCAACATGTGCAAACGAACACAGGCCGTGCTACTGTTTAAAAGACCAGTGAAGGAAATCCATATTTGGCATGGACTTCATACCAAGGCCACACCCCCAGTTGCCAGTGCCGATGCAGTAGGCATACTAAAGAGGTACACTAGCCCACAAAAAACAAGGTGTGCACAGGTTTTAAAAAAAAACCACAAATTAGAAATGACAAGAAGGGAGAGGGTTCTAATCATTATAAAGGCTGACACTGAAAACAATCCCATCTGTCCTGTACTGCTAGTCACCTACAGGCTCATCACTGAGCACCAAAAATGCCAATACATCAGTCAGCACTGATGGCAGTGAGAGAGTGCTTCTTACTACAAGCAGTATAACAGTGACTCAAGGCCCCAGAGCCACAAGTGGGCCCCAAGTATATACTTAAAAAAAAATGTAATATTATTTTTCAAAAATTAGATTTTCTTACATTTTTATTGTATATACTTTATATAGCATAATTTTTTCTATTCTAGCATACAGAGGAATGTGATTGAGGAGAGAGGGGGGACCAAGTAGGATGTCCCTTAGGGTCCCAAGTGTTCAGAAATGTCCCTGATGCAAGGTATTATGAAGAGGAGACATACCTACACACATGTATTACACTATTGGTGGTGATGGGGAGAGAGAGAGAGAGAGAGAGAGAGAGAGAGAGAGAGAGAGAGAGAGAGAGAGAGAGAGAACAAAGGAGATATGAGGAGATGACACCTAACAATTGTGCAAGACCTGGTAGACCCACCAAAACTGTCACTTTCAGATAAACAGTACTTAAAGCTTTCATCTCTGAGAGAGAGGAGAAAATCAAGCTCTACTCTCGCTTCAGATCTGAAAAAAATCCACAAGTGTTTCTGTCCATCCTTCCACTGTGAGGGAGAGGGTGCGGAGAGAGGGAGGGGGTGATAGGGAGAGAGAGGAGGAGAGAAAGAGAGAGATTGGGAATCTAAAACCAACACGCACTCTGCTGAAGTCCTGCTGAGTTCTGCAAAGACAGGTATGAGTTCCAGGAGTGGAATCTGAAGGAACAAAGACCTGAACGTGCGCATGAGCGTGTTTAGGTGTGCAACCATGTGCAGAAGACGCGTGAATGCATTACATTTTACAGCAGCAAGAAATCATCTCCCACTAAAACATGGAGACGGCTCATGATACTGGCAGTTTGTGTTTGAATGATATTGACCACCGTAATGGAAAATTGCATTCATATGATAACAGCAGGAGTAAACCCTTGTTTGGTGTTCAGGTCTGTGGGACCCATTTGGACCCAAGAGTACCAAAACACAAAATAATGTGATTTATTATTATTTCAACCTAAAATTCTTTGGCCTTTGCTCATTTTCTGTGAAGAACATACAAATTAACATATTTTCAGTGACCTCACACTGTTCACCTCCTACACACTTATATTACATGTGGTGTTGGGGTGAACCCGCAGGGAATAAAAGTGTGGAGGGGCTGTATCCCTTCACTCCGTTCTCCTCCTACACAGCTTGCTGTTAATGTGTGTCTGTTTTTGTATGTGTTTGTATGTGTGTGTGTGTGTGAGGGTGGACAACAGGGACAGGCTGCTGATTGGCTACAGCTGCTAAAGGAGAACCCTACACTAGCACTTGTGATATTTTAAACATATGATATTTTTACATAAATTGTTACAGCTGTATTGATTTTTTAAAAAAAAGCAATAATGTGGTGGGTCCACCAGACCACTGAGTAAAAACACATCAACACCACACAAGGGTTAAACAAATACATTGCATATTCAAAGTTTCTTCTGAAATAAGGTATTAATAGGGAGTTTGTCTCCCCTTTGCCTCTACTCTTCTGGAAAGACTTTAAACAAGATGTTGGAACACTGCTGTATGGATTTGACTGCATTCAGCTACAAGAATATTAGTGAGGTCAGGTACTGATGTTGGATAACCAGTTTTGAATCACAAATGCCACTCCAACCCACCCAGGTACTGGATGGAGCTCAGTCACTCCAGAGAACACAGTTCTACTGCTCCACAGTCTAATGATAGAGACTGTTCAGCTCTGCAGTGCTCTCAGGTTGGCTGAAGAGTGTTCAGCCTAAGCATTAGAGCAGTATAGATCTCACCCTGACTCTCTCCACACTCCATTATAAGGGCTTTCTGAATGTATGCAGCAGAAGGCTAATGACCATCAAGATAACTGCAGAGTGCCAACAAGAGAAATGAGCTTTTCCATTACAGCAGCGAGCACTCTACTGCCCTCTAGTGCTCCATAGCAAAAAGACACAACAACAACTGGGAGTCATGATCAGGGCTGTCTTAAGGTGTGTCGAGGCCCTGGGCTAACTCTGTGTCTAACACTGTTTCCATGGGACCATAAGAACATCTAACATTGACACAAATATAGGCTAAACTGATGAGCACTGATGAAACGTTTGCTCGGTTTGTGGAATGAATATATACTGGAATGAATACACACATTTTATTTATATATATATATATATATATATATATATATATATATATATATATATATATTATATTTATATACACACACACTATATGGACAAAAATATTGGGACACCTACATAATTACACGTACAGGAGCTTTTATGACATTCCATTCTAAATCCATAGGCATTAATATGGAGTTGGTCCCCCTTTGAGGCTATAACAGCTTCCACTCCTCTGTGAAGGCTTTCTACAAGATTTTGGAGAGTGCCTGCGGGAATTTT